AAGGCTGTCTATCTGACGAGTTTGTATTCATGCTCAGATGCTGAGGAGCTCAGAAGGTGGGCGACTGTGACCAGTGATAGTCATGCATATAGAGATTAGAAATGCATGTGAAAACGTCTCAATGTCAATTGCTTTGAAATGAATTCTTCTGTTTTGTTTTTTAAAGTATATAAGTGTATTGTCTGCATGCATGTAAGTGCACCCATGTCATGCAATGCCCATGGAGGTCAGAAGAGGTTGTCAGATTCCTGAAACTGGAGCCATGGGCAGTTGTTAGCCACTATGTGGGTGCTGGGAACCGAACCTGGGTCCTCTGCCAGAGCAGCCAATGCTCTTAACTGTTGAGCCATCTCTCTAGCCCCTGGTTTATCAGTTTTAGAGAGACAAGCCACAAATTGTAGCTACCGGTTCTACAAGTCCCCAGCTCCTGTTTCTCAGGCTGGGGTGTTTAGACCTGCCTTTCCAGACTCTCCTGGCCTCTCTTTCCCTAAGGAACCTTGATGAGACAACTTGAACTGTTTCTGTCCCAAAGATCACAAAAGAACTGAACACTCATGAACACATACCATGTGGTTACAGGCACCTCTGAAGCTCAGAAAAGCCCAAGAGGGCTTTGCCCTGCTCCTTTTCTAAGCCATATGAGGAAACAGCCCCAGACAGTGAAACTTGAGAGCGTTTACTAAAGATTCTAGGACCGCATATAACAAGCAAGTCAGCCAAATCTCTTTGTGGAAAGAAGAGGATGAGGAATAAATAGGTGGATGACTGGTCCCCAAGGGGGTAGGGCTTCTCTGGAGGATGTGTTGTTGAATGGGCCATATTTTCCTGCTCTGGCAACCTTCAGGCCCAGTCAGTTTTCCCAGATCTTTCCTTGAACTCTTTCAGGAAGATCTATAGGTCCAGGTTTGTCTTGACCAAACTTCTACAAAGAGTTGCTTGTTCCCCTTTCTCTGTGCCTATGAGCAAATCATGCAAGAAGCCAGATCTATGAGACTGAAAGGGCCTGAGGTGGGGAACAGACACTGAGGCAGCTCATGCCATGGGATTCGTCACGGATGCTGACCCCTCTACACACAGGCAAGGCCTTGGAAAAATCTTGCCACTAGGCTGGCCACCTGCCAACTCTGAAGTCAGTCTTCCTCATCAGACAGGGAGTTCCTTCCCACCCAGCACCAGGCAGTCCTCCCCCATCTGGCTGGACATCATGGGTAGAGGGCTGTACCTCACCATCAGATGAGCCTTTGGACTGGAGCTCCCAGAGGGGTGATCTTGTTTCTCCCCCAATAGGTTGGGAGCACACCTTGAAATAGAAACTAAAAGCAGGGATAGGTGGGGTGTGTGTGTGTATGTGTGGCAAATGCCTGTAATCCTAGCATTTGGAGGGCAGGAAGGTTGTGAGTTCAAGGCCAGTCTGGGCCACATACCATATAAAGAAGGGGGAAAAAAAGAGTGGTTACTATGCACCTCAAATTACTTCTCCTCCTCCAAGTCTCCTTCTTTTTTAAAACAGAATCTCAGGTCGCTTGGGCTAGCCTTGGAAGTATGACAATCCTCCTGCCTCAGTCACCTGAGTTCTGGAAAAGCAAGCAAGTACTACCATACCTGGTTTATGGGGTTCTGGGTATCAAATCCAGGGCTTCATGCATGATCAACTAAGCTACATCCTCAGTCCCTGAAACTTCTTATTTTATTCATGCATTTATTTATCGGGGAGTTGAGACAGAATCTCTTTATGTAGCTCTAGCTGGCCTGGAACTCGCTATGTAGAACAGGCTACTCAAATTCACAGAGACCTGTTTCTGTCTCCAGAGTGCTGGGACTAAAAGCATGCACTACCACACCCCACAAGCTTCTTTTTTTTAAAGAAAAATAATTTGCCTTCGTCCTCACAAGCACACTGTAAGGGAAGCCAACATTGCCCTCACTTTCTACATGAGACTGACAGTAGAAGCTGGATGATTTGTTCAGAACTACACAGCTGGATGGTGAAGGCAGGCTTCTCTGTCAGACTGAGAACAACATGAGGCAGGGACTGTGTCCTTCAGCCCCTTCCTCAGAGCAGGGGCAACTGAGGGCCATGATGGGGCATGCCTTCTCTGTTGGTCCCATCCCCCTGCCTGGAACAGATGCAGACCTTATTAGGTGCTGTGCCTGAAGCCTGGGTTAGGGCCAGGGAGCTGGCAGGACCACACTGGATATGCTCTCTGCTCTTTACTCTAAGCTGGTCCTCCAGAAATGTGTCCACAGGGTAGAGAAGAGCCCAGTCTTTTGAAAATGGGGTGTCTACATGGAATGGGGTGTCTATATGGAATGGGGGTCAGGATGTCAGTGTTTTCTCAGGCTCTCAAGTGCCTGGCCCCTATCACAGGGAACAGGCTTTCCGGACAGGCCTGGCGCCATTCAGTGAGCTGGGCATTTCCTTCTGTCCACAGCCCACCTCACTCCTGGCTGCAAAGCCTGTCAGGAGTCTCTGGAACCTAGCAACTCGCAGGAAACAATGGAAACTTGGGTTTGTATTCTCCTCCCTCCATCATTACTCAAAGAGTTTCCTTCAAAACCACACACACACACACACACACACACACACACACACACACACACACACACATGCAGCTCCCCTCCACACACACACCGTTTTTGTTTTTTCCTCCCCGCATCAGCTTGGAGTTGCCTGGAAATTTACAGGCAAAGGAGGAACGCTGAATGCAGGGAGTAGGGAGATACCCCCTTAACCCCCAGGCCTGGTGTGACAGCCTGTAGATTCCAGCAATCACCAGCTATGTTTTACCCAGAACATCTGTGATCTGGGCTCTGGTAGGTCTGTCTATGTCTGAACCTGGATATTGGAGCTGGTGTGTCTCTGAGGATGTGATTTATGTGAATCAAAGTAGGTCTGTGGGTAATTAAGGTGGTCAGTGATAGGACAATCGAGTTCAGTATCAAGCACCCACTTCAAGGCCTGGGATGAATGTGAGAAAAATGTACAGGCTGGTGGTGTGTATTGAAAAACAACATGGGCCTGAATGTGAAAGTGTGTGAGAACATATCTAGGGCTTGGTGAGATGGCTCAGCAGGTAAAGGCACTTGTCACCAAGCTTGACTACCTGAAATGGATCCCTGGGACCCCATGGTGGAAGGAGAGAATCAGCTTGTCCTCTGACCTCCAACTGTGCATGCTGGTATTTTGTGCCCTGCCCACGGGAGCAGCTGAATGTGTGTGAAGGTTGTGAAGTCTTGCAAGAGTGCATGTGAGTCCTGAGGATTGTTAACATACTAACATTGGGATCAAGGATGTGAAGGTGCTCTTGGGTAGTGGATGAGTGTGTTAGTGATGTAAGTTGTAGATGACAGCTGGGAGCAATTCAGTGGTAGAGCACTTGCCTAGTTTTCATGCCGCCCCAAAGCCCTAGGGTCCAACCCCAGCACCTCAAAAGCGAACACAAAGAAACTTGAGTTTCACTTTATGGAAGAAATTAGATTTGCTAACGAAGTTAAACTGAGTTGAAGCAGGAAGACAGCGGAGCCTACACACTGTTTACATAAAGTTGTGAGTGTGAAAGGGTCTTTGTAAAAGTTGGAGTGAGGGTGAAATGCGGCTGTAAAAGCTGCGTGCGTGTGAACCTGGGAAGCAGAACCTGGGGAACCCATGAAAATTGCTCGCGCGTGGCGTATAGTGTATAGTCCGAACGAGTGATATGGAAGTTGGCGGGCTGCAAGGGGACACGAATGCAGAGGGTCCGGTGCACGGCCGGGTGGCCGTCCCGGTCCCATCCAACACTCCAGGCCGCGTCTGGCGGGGAGCTGGCTGGGCCTCGGTCCGCGCGGAGGGGGCTGGGGGCCGAGACAAAGGCGCAGCCGGCTGCGAGGCCAGCTCTAGAGAGCCCAGCTCGGGGCCAGGAGGCGGGGCCTGCACCTCGAGGGTGTGACGGGGCGGCCTAGAGGCGGGGCCTCATCTGGAGGGGCGGGGCCTGAAGCTCCAGGAGGCGGGGCATCGAGGGCGGAGCATGGATGAGGGGCGTGGCTTAGCGTCGGGGTGGGGCCTAGAGCTCAAGGAAGGGATGCCTCAGGGGAAGGCCGGCGGCATGGGGCCGGGTTTTGGCCCTGCGGGGGCGTGGCAGGAGGCGCGGGGGCGGGGTTTAGTTCTCTGGGTCGGGAGCCTCGGGGGCGGGGCGCGTGCTGCGGGGGCGTGGCAGGAGGCCCGGGGGCGGGACGTGCGCGGGAGGGCGGGGGCAGGGGGAGCGGGCCTCGCTGTCCCGAGGACTCGGCAGGACAGCAAGCGGGTGGCTGCGGGCGGCGCCGAGCGAGCCAGCGAGGGAGGACCGGCCATGGGGCGGCGGGCGGCGGGCGCGCTGCTGCTGGCACTGCTGCTGCATGGACCGCTGCTCTCGGTGAGTGTGCGTGGCGGAGGGCCGAGGGCTGGGGGCGCCCGCCCATGGGAGACTGCTCGGCTGGGACTCTGGCCCGGGACGGCCGCGCCCGCGCAGGACCGGAGGCAAGCACTGGCTGGAGCCAGCCTGAGGCGTGGGGCTGCCTCAGGGGACCCTGCGTGAGGTCAGGGTCGGGCCCTGTCTGCGTGGAAACCCGTGGGTCGCCGGGCCACGTTGCTGAGGCTCAGAGTCGGTCTGGGCATGGCCGGGCCTGCCATTCTTGGGGACAAGGCAAAGAAACTTCCAGCATTGTGGGAACTTGGCAGGGCAAGGGTACCCCCCCTTTCTTCTTCCAAGTTAGCAGAAGAAGCACTCAGTGGTGATGGGGACCCTGTCAATCCTCGTTGGAACATTACCATACTGTTTCCTGGGGGAGCTTGTAACCAGGCAAGCATTAAAAAAAAAGAAAGAAAGAAAAAAAAAGAAAAAAAACTTGGAACAAAACGGAGGTTTGCGTGGAACATCCCGGGCCCTGGAGTTCTCCAAGCCAGGAGCTGACTCTATCCATGTCTTGCATTGAGACCTGGAGTGAGCTGGTTAACCTCTCACAGGCAGTCCCCACGTGGGTAAAGGGAACTCAGAATACGAAGCCTCTGGGCAGTTTGGGCCTGGATGGAATGAGTGCTGAGTACAGCGCCTGTTATGAGTGGGCCCTAGAACATCTGAGTTTCTCCAGCATTCCTCTTCCCATGTCTCCACAGTGGGAGACTGTGTGCCTCTACAGGCCAACCCCTTGTTCTGAGCTCGCAAGAAGGGAACTCCTTCGTCAGGAATATCAAGGCCTAGAAGGCATTTGGCAGGAGAGGCTCCCAGTGACCTCAAGGAGGGCTGGGTGGAGTCGGTGGATCCGCTGAGGGTGGCAAATGAGGGTGGGGCACATCTGGGCCTTCGGTGGTAAGCCACAGAGCCCAGGTACTCCTAGACAGTCCCCATCTCTGCTCTCTGTTTTCAGAGCCAAGAGAGTGACTTTTCCTACTGGGCCAGTGTTTACCCAGTGACTGATTCTCTGTCCTTGCCTTGCTGGCTCTTTTTCACCTCTGCCCTCCTGAGTCACTCCTTTACCCCCCACCCAGACCTGACCCCTCACTGTTCCTGCCCCACCTACCCAACACCTCTCCTCCCTGCCTTCCACCTGAGCAGCCACCTTCCTTAATTTGTCTGGCCTTCCACCCTAACAGCCCTGCAGTTTTACACCCCAGTCCTCTGAGCCTGGACATCCCAGCTCGGACTTTTCCTTCCCTAAGGCAATGATCCAGACCTGGAAAGTCCTCTCAGCCCAGCTATCTTTTCTAACCGGCCCTCTGCCCCCTAATGAGGGGCACCCCTGGCACATGGGCTGCACAACGGCAGACAGGAGTAGTGGGTGGAATTGTTTGCTGAGGGACCAAGGAATTCCACTGAAATTCCCTGACTGCTGCCATTGCCCCATTCAGTGGTTCGTTCATTCACCAAAATCTTAATTGAGTGGCATTCCATGATAGTCACCCAGAGTCCCTGGGGCTCATTCATTGGGAAGATTCTTAACACAACTACTGTGTGCTGTGCACAGTCACACCGTGGTAGGGCTGGGGTGGTATGGGTGAGCTAGCTTTGGGATCATAGTCATGTGGAGGTCTTCACTGATCTCCCCACCAGGCTCAGCGTGGGGGCCTGGAAAGAGCTTGGCCTCAGGAGTCTTACAGACTCAGTTTGTATCCCAGCCTTAGTCTCCCCACACCTGTGAGATGAGGGAAGAAGCTGACTGTGCTTCAGTAAGATTATTTTCTAGCCAGGAGTCCCAGCAAGCCTTGCCCACAGCCCTGGATCTTTCCGCTAGGCAGAAGCAGGTGGGGGAGGGCGGGCTAAGCTGGGCCTTTGAGCCCAAGCCTCACTGGAGGCAGGAGACTGGAACAGTGGTCTGTGATTATGCGTGGGAGTAATTTGGGTTCTGAGGAGTGAGGAAGGGGCCTGGCCCTGCTGACTCAGGACCTGTCCTGGCCTGCTGACCCTTTTTTTCCCTACTGGGGCCTTGCCTCTTTCTTGGGCCCGGCCCTACCTGGAACAGGATTCTTGAGGGGCTGTAGTGATAATGAGGGTGTTTTCCGGACTGAGGAGGGAAGTGGCAGAGATACCTGTTTCCTGCCATTCCTTGCATTTCCTTAAAGGGGAGGCTGCTGGTGGGAGATGAGGAATTTCTCCTTCCTGGAATGACCTCAGCCCTCCCTTCCACGCAGCAGGCTACCCTGCCTCCCTCCTCTTCCCCCATAGGGACAGGACAGACTTGAGGGAGTGAGCTAGGCCTAGGCAGAGGCTGAATGGCCGAGATGTGGTCATCCAGTCCCAGACCTCCTCTTTCCCCCATCTCCTAGACTGAGCTTCAGGTGTCTGAGGAGTTGTCTGGGCCCTGCCTGGCTTGGCCTAGACCTGTTCTCAGGCTCAGTGCAGGCAAGTTAGGATCTGTGGGCTTGAGGCCCTGCCTGGGAAATGGTTGAAAAAAGATGGTCGAAGGTGACTAGGTGCAGGGTTTGGAAAATAGTGAGAGCAATGGTGGGGAGGGAGGTCATCAGGTGTCAGACCAGGGACAAGATACTGTGAGTGGCTTACATGTATTCAGTGTCTCTTGACTAAGGGACACCAAGTTTCACAGAAAACCCTAACTTTCTGTACCCCACCACCACCACCTCTCCTTACTGAGAATTAGATCCATGCATCTGGCTTCATGTGGCTGGCCCACAAGGCCCCAGTCCCCTGGGACTGCCTCTTACACTCCACTAGCTATACCAGGTTTTTGCTTTGCTTTAGTTTTTCCTCTCTGGTATTTTTTCTTTCTAAAAAAAAAAAAAAAAAATTCTTTGACAATTTCATATATGTATACAATGTATTTTGATCATTTCATTCCCCTATTACCCCGTACCCCCTGCTTTTGAGTATTTTTGAGACAGGGTCTCATGCATCCCAGGCTGGCCTCAAACTCCCTGTGTAGCTGGGAATGACCTCGATATCCTGATCCTTCTACCTCCCACATCCAAGTGCTGGGATTACAGGTATGAGCCAGGCATGCCACCATGCCTGGTGAAGTCTTTGTTTCTTGAAAATGGTAAACACACTCCTACCTCAGGGCCTTTGTGTTGGCTGTTCCCTCCATCTGGAACACTTGCCCTGAATCCATATCATCCTCTACCTCCCTTTATTCGGGTTCTGGCTACTCTGCCCTCTCCCTGCTCCTGCAGTGCTGAGAATTGAACCCAGGGCTTCTTACATGTTCCATGCTGAGCCACACCCTCAGTCACCATCTAACTAAACCTTTTGTTTATCCATCTCCTCTCCCAGTTTAAGCTCCAAGATAGCAGGACTTTATTTATTTATTTATTTGAGACAGGGTCTCACTATGTGGCCCTGGCTGGCCTGGAACTTGCTATATAGACCACGCTCACTTGAACTCATATAGAGATCTGCCTGCCTTTGGCTCCTCGGTGCTGGGATTAAAAACCTGTGCTGCCATGCCCAGTCTATAAAATTACATTTATTTGGGGCTGGTTCAGTGGTTAAGAGCACTGACTGCTCTTGCAGAGGACCCGGGTTTGATTTCCAGCACCCAGATGGCATTGTACAACACAGGTGCACTCACATACATGCAGGCAATACATTCATACACATAAAATAAAAATAAATTTTAACGATTACATTTATTTACCTATTTGTTTTCTGCGTGCGTGTGTGTGTGTGTGTGTGTGTGTGTGTGTGTGTGTGTGTATGTATGTATACGGGGTAGACAGCACAATTGAGGTCAGAGGACAGTTTTGGGGAGCCAGTCCTCTCCTTCCATCATGTGGGTCCTGGGGATCAAATTTAGGTTGTCAGGCTTGGCAGCAAGCACCCTTACCTGCTGAGCCATCTTACCTGCCGTCTCATCTGTTTGTTTTGTTTGTTTGTGTTGCTTGTTCTGTGTTTTATTCATTTCTTATCATGCTTGAATTTGTTTTGTGATTTTTTTTCATTATTAGTTAAATTTGTTCTTTGACAGTTTCATCAGGTATATAATCCATATGACCACTCTTGCCTCATTCTATTTCCTTTCCCTTACTGCCCCTTCTCCCCTTACCACCTTCCCTACAGGTCCATTTCTCACATTCATGCCTGTTCCTTTTGTTTTGTGACCCACTGAGTTTAGCCTGGGTGGTCTGTGTGACCGTGGGTTTGGATCTATCCATTGGAGCCTGGTAGACTCAGCAGTGGGTACACAGCTGAAGACAGTGATTCCCCCAAAAGTTCAACATTCTGTCCATGACTGAATGTTGTCAGGCCCAATCTTGTGCAGGCCCCATGCCTGTGACCATACTCATCTCTATGTTCACTGATACCTTTAGCATCCCATACATAGTAAGTGCTCAGTAAATATATTCTTTGAATGAATTAAGCTGTGAAGACTAGTGTAGTCCCCAGTGTCTGACCAAAGGAAACTGAGACTCGAGGGTTAGGAGACTTGCCAACAAGAGCCAAGTTTGAAGGTAAGCAAAGCTCTCCTGATGTTCTGTCCACTATCCCACCTGCCTACAGCCATAGTCAGATTTTTTTAAAACTATTTATCTATCTACCCATCATCTATCTATCTATCTATCTGTCTGTCTGTCTGTCTGTCTATCTATCTATCTATCTATCTATCTATCTATCTATCTATCTATCTATCTATTTAATTAGTCTGTGTGTATAGCCACGTATGTGCCATGGAGCATGTGTGGATGTCAGAGGATGCCTTGAAGGAGTTGGTTCTCCCACCATGTGGCTCTTGGGGATTGAACTCAGGTCATCAGGCTTGTCAGCAAGCACCTTTACCCACTGAGCCACCACACTGGTCCCACAATCAGATTTTGAAGAAATTTGTCACTGATGTCATTATCAGTAAGACCCCTGCCCCAGGTATCACAGGGGCTACCTTCAACAAGCGCAGTGGTGGCCTAGAATAGCGACAGGCTCAGGATGTC